GTGATGATGATGGTGGTGATGGTGGTGATGATGGTGTTGGTGGTGATGATGGTGGTGATGGTGGTGAAGATGATGGTGGTGATGGTGATGATGGTGACGGTGGTGGTTCAACTATATAACTATATAGAATTAGTAATACAAAAATGACTACCTACATGTAATATTGTATCCACAAATCCTTTATGTGCCTGCTTACTCCAGTACAACTAGTTTAAACTTGAGTCTGTTACTCTTAAATGTCTCCAAAAATATTTAAATAACAAACTAGTCAAAAGGAGCAAATAAATGAGCTATATGTACATTCATTTACATGTACATATACATGTACACGTACATGTATGTGCGCAGCGCCTTCATCGGTAAAGAGGCAAAATCTAAAGACTAAAGATTTCTACTGACTTTGCTGAGCTGGCAAGGTTTTCACAAATTAATGGCAAAAGAGTGACGTTTTTGTCAGAAATTCAGTGCGCAACACAGCATAGAAATGGCGGAACCGAATTAGGTGAGCCCTGAAGCAGCACCTTTTGGGAACAAAACACTAGTCACTGCACTTGCAAAAATAAAAAAATACTGAACGATATTCTTGCCGCTACATTAGCTATTAAATTCACATTTGTGGACATTCACATTTGTGGTGGCATGGCCGAGTGGTTAAGGCACTTGACTTTTGCACTGGCCCTTGGTAACACAATATGCCCATGTTCTAGACCCGCCACTGGCAGATTTGAGTTTCGTGTCTTTTTTTTTTCTACCGTTAAAAGTCTAAAACCATCCTTTCATTTTTCAAAATGAATCCTCCTGGGTACATTACGTACACCGCATATTGTGCAGTGAGCCATTGGGATTTTCTCTTGCACCATAGAACTTTACAAGTTGTTTCCATCTTGGTATACGTAGGCAGGATATCTCTACATGTAGGCAGGATATCTCTACACGTAGGCAGGATATCTCTATAGGTACATGCCGCAAAATGAAATTGTGGATTAAGACCTCATACATTGGTGCATTTGCTAGTGACGAAAATAGCCCTCACAGTTACATGTATGTCACACTCTACCGGTACATGTACATGTGTGATGTCAGACTTTGTAACCACAAAATGCACAAATTTCAACTTCCTAAACTTTCATTTGCTGTCCAATCTTGTGTTGGAAATATCCAAAGTCAGCTGCTATCAGTGTTTTATTACTTCCTACAACTAAGGCTGCAAAATATTTAACCTTGATATCCAACAATAGTTATGGTTTTCTGCATGGGCACCAGTATACATGTATGTTACTGCAATGGGTACTTTGGTTGTTATGGGTATGCATTTGTAGTTCTTCTGCCCGTGCATAAGAGCAAAGCTAACATAGTAAATGCCATGTTACCAACTCTCGGCCCATCAAGATACAGAATCTGTAAATTTATGCGTGAGTTGTTACATGTTTAACAAAAAGGAGATGAGTTTTCCTTTTGTTTCTCCCACCAGCAGTACCCGGTACGCCACCTCTGCCAGGCTCTGGGTAGTTTGTCTCTCACTTTTTGTCCTTGGATAAAAGTATACCTGGCGTAGGCTTTGCAAAAGATATACCCATAAGCTTTGCAAATTTGCAGCATCAACATGTTGACACGTGATGTTGATGATGCATGTGTGGTTATTCAGGAAGGGATAACGGAACCAGTGTGGATGTACCCGTATGTGTGCCTCACATCGATATATACCGGGTACATGTACCGATATGATTGTGTCATTCCTGCAGGGAAAAAAGGTGATTACTGGAAACCTGTCCTGCCTTTGTTTTGTTTGTTAGGTCTGGCTTTTCTGATATTTGTTGTTGTTTTGTCTTCTTTCTGAAATGACAAGCAGTAAACAAAACAAAGTTGTACAGCAGTTTTCAATAATCGCAATACATGTGGCCTTGCACACATTCATATTTCTGTCTTTCACACTGGGACAACAAATATCATATTCCATGGCATATGTCTAAATACATGTTACAATTGATATTGTGAGTATATTTTTTGTGTAAAAAAATTAATATTTTTAATGTGCATTTTTAGCACGAGAGCCGTTACAATTTCTATTATACGCAAGTACCAGTAGCAATAAAAATGAATTGAATTGAGATCATGTTAATTCTGTACGCAGAGTTAAATGCCACTGGTACCTGGTAATTTTCCCTGCTTCATGTCCTGGGCAATCTATCCGTAAAACTGACATGAATGATGAACCTTTTGGTATCTTCCACCATGCATGGTGCATCCTGCCATGTACTGAACAAACACTGTACCATTACATGATGTGCATGTACTGTACATGTAGGTAGGGTAGGGGGCTTTTCACACCTAGCTGAGTATTTTTTCATTGCCTGAGGGAGTCGGGGGTGGAATGTTTTCAGTGAAGTTTGAACTGAAATAACCACAGGGAAAAAAATCAGGGATTATTTGAAGCCGGATCTAGAGGTTCGTGTACAGCATGCATTTTTCCCCTCTTTTTTTTCTTTTGATTTCTATTCTGTGCTTGAGTTGTTCAGACTCAAAAGAGATTCCAGGCTTACAATAGAAGTACATTATACATGTGCTGGTACATGTACGTGTATTCATGTATTGTAAGCATCATTGTTAACATTCCTACCACACAGTATGCATTGCTAACCCAATTCCAGTATTTGGTGGTTCACATGCACAGTGCTTTGTACCGTACATGTACACGTATGTACATGTATTTCACTTAGGGAAATAATGTACATGTACATGTACACATGTAGCACTGGTACATGTACGTACATGTACATTTACATATATTACGTACGGTACATGTACAGTGTGTAAATGTTCATGTACTGTAGATGTTAAGTTCCTAGTGGCTGGACTCTACACTTCTGGTTCAATGAAAATACGGCAAAATCCAGAAGTGTGAGATACCATATTTTAATAAAAAACTCAGGATGTTATTGGTATACATGTTGGTTACAGCATGATCCACTTATTTAGTGCATATAAGGTTATATTGATTTCATCTATATTCAAAACTTTCTCATTTCTAGTATGTTACAGTTTCATAGCTGCTTTGAAGAAGTGACTTCAGATTTTTATTTTGTTTCCCCCTTTTGTCTTTCTGCATTACATGTACCCCCATAGGGAGGCACATGTATGTACATGTACCTGCAAACATTTTCAAAAAGTACAAGTACAGCCTGTTTTAAATTCACTTCTTAACATTGTTTGTACAAATTTGTACAGCAAAGCCTGCTGAAAGGAATTAATTTTTTGTGTGTGTTATAGTTACGATGTCCAAACTGCTCCAACCAGGATGTTGTTTCCATATGTGAGCCCATTCTCAGAACAGCCACTGTCGACAAGAGATTAAGAATGTGTGAGGTAGACTTGTAGTACCCTATACAAGTATTGTGTGCATTATTAGCAAGCACTGACGGTTACCAGTTGTACTGGTCTGTATTACCATTAGTGCAAGTACATTACTTGCCAAAAAAGCAGAAAAGAACAACAAAAAACCTAAGTAAAACATTCTGGTGGGTTGGCGCTAGCTATT